TTTTCAAAGGATTTAGAACTTTAATTAGTCTGCTAATCATTCTTTGTGTGGAGTCCATAAAGAAACTAAGGGTAAAATGACTAGACTTTGATTGTTCCTAAATGAAACAATATAGAAAATGAAATATGGTCACATCTTTTTGTCTAGCATGTTTATGTGTGATTAAGTGTTTCTGACAAAAAATATGGTCAAGAAACACAAATGAGCAGTGACTTTTACACAACTGTGATAATATCGTCCTGCTATCGACTTCATCATTACAGCATTTGGTAAAACATGAAGAAACTGAGCCTTTATCAGTCTGTTTGTTTGATTTTTATTCCCTCGAAACATTGAGTGATCAGTAGATGTGTATTTAAACATTTATTGGCAATCACTTAGGATGGGAATGTGATTAGGAAGGAAAAAACTGTGATGTCATGTGCTGATGAATAAAAAGAATCATAAAAGAACATAAAATTACCATAAATTTCTGAGATCTAAAATTGCATCACATCTCCTATCAGCAGTGCTGTTTATCTTTTTCAGTTGGTGACATTTTTATCTCAGTAAGAGCCCCAAGAAAAGGAGGAGGGATCTTCCTCCTGTTTTCTAAAGTCCATAGATTTCCTTTTTTTTCATTTTTACTCTCCAACTGCATCGTCTCTATTTCTTTTCTCCATGTAACATTTGCAAATCAATCCTTTGGGTTCAGTGAAAACGTATCTTGAACATGCAAAAGCTAAAGGTGCGTGTTAAGATTTTTGTAACTAAAGAAGGATCCACTTCATGTGCATCAAGCTTAACATGTTAAAAGCATGTCCACGGACGATTTATCATACAAAGAAGACAAAAATTTAAAACACTGCAAACCATTTGTGTCAAATATACAGCCACAAAATATAAGAGAAAATTACTTAGCTAAGGCTACTCTGCAAAAGTGAAGAAAGTCTTTTTTTTTTTTTTTTTAAGAAGCCTAGTAGGACAATTTTCCAATAGCATAAGATGGTTTATTTTTTAAATAAGAAAAAAAGCAACAGCCATATTTTAATTCAGGTGCATAAAATCAAACTATCTGATTCTAGAGACAGAAATTCTTATTCTATTGGCAGATCATCTTATCAACCTGCTTAAATAAAGGGTAAATACAGTTCTGTTCAACTAAAAAATGTCTTAAATCCTGCAGAGGGAATCCATTCTTCATCACCCAACTATTTCCTTCATCATCCCTGTATAGCTCTTAGTGGAAAAAACCCACCTCTGCTTTGTGTATTTTGCACATCTGAATGTCAACATTATTGTTATAGTTTCAGAGGTTACTAGAATAATTGATCCACCACAAATAAGGTGGGTAATATTCTTTTCTTCTTGCATAGTGAAAAGAGTGAATTAAAGTTGAAGTAAGTTAAAGTATTGTTGGTTGAGAGAAGGGCTGTGAGTCTTTGTCAAATAACCAAAACCATAAAATTGCAATTATTTTATGATTTTCCTCTGTATAAACCAAAATAATATATTTATGTTTGCCTACTGGGGTTTTACTGTTTTCAAAGCTTTAACATTTTCGTGTCCTGAGAATATTGTTGTTGGACTTTACTGCTTTTTATATTGTTATATTTACTGCTCTCTCTTCTTTTCTGTGTGGCAGCAAACATATTGTAAGCATATTACTTCTACATACAGAGATCTAATGAGAAGATTATTGTAATTGTAACCTGACAAAAGATTGAGTGCCTTTGTGGTTTGGAAATTCTTTAAGATAGAGATTACATTGCAAATCCAATTCCTTTTTAGACGTTAATAAGAGATAGGAGATTAATAGTATCTAAGAAGTTTTAATCTAGTAGCAGTATGATGATCTAGTCAAAGTAGATCAGACTTTTAATCTAAATATTTTCATAAGATGGCTATCAGTGTGTCTGAAAGCCATGATCTCTGAAAAACAGTTGCTGCCATCTTTTCTTTTTAGGTGTACCGTCAACAGTTCTTGTGAAACCTTATGATAGAACACACTGAAGCTCATAAAATGCTAGCAGTTTAGAAAACCAAACAGCAGCTACTTTCCTTCAACTTTAGCTGCTTCTTTGCTCTGACACACCTGAATCAAATGGCTAAGTACCTTCTCAGTACCTCAACAGATTCTGCAGAGACCCGTTTATTAGCGCCTGGTTTCATTCAGGGGTTTTGAAAAAGGAATTAATCCAGTAGTTGACCACAATTATCTCTCTGTATGAATTAACCTGCTACTATAGTGGACACTTTAGATTTTCTTGCCTTTTAAGAGCCTTATTTTCTACATTCTGACCTACAGCTAATGTTATAAGTAATAATTATATGTCATAATTAGATGAACAAGATCCTAGACACATGCAGCTATAAAATAATCCTTCTCTAAATGGGTTCCTACAAATCCTTAATGATAAAATGTAAGGTTTTTCATCTTCAAATGACTAGACTTCTTAATGTTAGACAAATTATTAAACTTTAAACACTGGAAAATCCATCTTAGAACTACAACATTCTGAAAAATAAGTGTGTGCCCTTGATTTGAGCAGGTAAATAAAATTTTCTTCCAATGGAATGGACATATTTGCTCTTAGAGTAAGATAATTAGCTATAAGTCACTTAAATATGATAAAGGAGTTTATTTTATTCTTATCTTAAAGATAAATCGCCCTTTACCAATGATAAATTCGTTTTCATACCTGTTTAAATCAAGCCGAAATACACTTATTGTAAGAACATTTGACTAGCTTAATTTAAACTTTTTGCAGTGAACTTGAGCTTGACTTAAGTCTTTACATCTGTAAGTTCCACAGCCCATAAAACAATAATAGCCTTATATTGGTACCTAATGCAACTGTGTTTGGCAACATTAATGCGTGCTAAGAACCATTTAATTTAGAATTGTCAAACAAGGAAATGGGTTTCTTGTAGATTCTCTGCAGACAAAATTGTGAACAAAGTTACCTCCATTTCATTAATCGAAATTAGTAAAACAAACCAGAGGTTTTGGTTATTTGATGGCAATTAGTTTCAGAACCATAAAGAAAGCTCATCATTACATTTAACCTGTTTTGCAGACAAATGTTTATGGGCCTAATTCTGTTTTTAAATGACTGTGTCTTATCTTAATAAGTAAAAAGATTATGCATTGTCATTGAATCTGAACATCACATGTCGATTTTATCATTACGGTTGCATTTATGAAGCTTTAGTAGAGTTATGTCTTTTAAAATATGGAGGTATTTCCCTAGAAGTCAGGCGAGCAGAGATTTACCTGAGGTGTCAGAGATAAGGTGAAGCAACTGTCATCCAGATTTAGCTCAAAGAGTAGCCACTACCTCTCCACAATAACAACAGCAGCATGTTCAGAGACTGGGAAAATCCTGCCTGTGAAGATTTAGTAGTCCAGGCCATGGTGAAGCTTGAAAAGTTCCTTTTAGGCAATTAGATGTCACATCCAGTTGCTTAAACTGAACATTTCAAGCCTCATCCCACTAATTCCTCCATGTAATCCTGAATAAGTAAAAGATGATGTATGGACATCCTGCCATCTCAACCCTACCTGCCATCTCAACCCTATCTGTATGACCAAAGGTGGATAAAAGCAGTGTCATACCATAAGTCTTTTATGTCTTTAGTACAGACATTAAAATTGCCCAAAGTCACTTCTTAGCCATATTATACATTGGATATATGATTGATATACTATATAAATCCTGTAAATAAACACATACTGTGTTGTGTGCTCAGCATTCTCACCTATCACTATAGAGCACATATGTTCAACAGAGATCCATACATAGTAACACAGCGGTGCCCTTGCCCCATCTGTTGTTGCACATTTTCAGACAGCTGATTGAAAAAGGCTTTTCTCTTGCAGGCAACACATTTTGTGTTTTGTGAAAATTGTTTGTGAAAAATAGGCCAACCAGCATTATACATAAAACAGTGGTCGTTATTACTAGCATATCCTCTGTTACAGTACTAGTTAGAAAAATGATACATTCTGTTTAAATGGGTGAGGTTTTCTTTGTATTTTTGAGTAAATAACGTACTTCTTGAAGATAACGATAACATACTGATTGAATATCAACCTGGGAAATACGTGTTCCGAACCTACAGACTCAAAATGGTATTTGGGACAAAATTGTTTGTAAGAATTAAAAAAAAGACTAGGGGCTGTTCAGTGGAACAGTGGATAGCACTGTATCCTTGCAGTAAGACGTTCCAAGGTTCAATTCCCGGTCTGAGGTCTGCCTGCATGGAGTTTGCATGCTCTCCCTGTGCATGCCTGGGTTCTCCGGCTTCCTCCCACAGTCCAAAAGCATGACTGTTAGATTAATTGGCTTCTCTAAATTCTCCTAAGTTGTGAGTGTGTGTATGAATGGTTGTGTGTCCCGTGTGTCTCTGTGTTGCCCTGCGATGGACTGGATCTGCTATGGGACCTGAAATATGAAGCAAGATTGTGTATAATTTACTTTACATAAAGTATTATGCTAATTGTTCTTCCTCAATCTTGATTCCAGTGAAATATAGTTTTTTGTTATGCTTTTTTTATTAATAATTAATTAAAATGTACTCAGTTTAAGAGTCTTGTTGTGCCTGTAAATGCCATAGGTGAGAGTTATGTGGCTTGAACATAATAAAACCTGAAAATGAGGAAAATAAGTGGTAGACTGAAATTAGAGGAAAAAGCAGCTAAACTCCCAGGAAAAGTTTAAAACCAATAAAACTCTGCAGAATCATCAATAAGGGACAATCTGAAAGATTACAGCAAAGCTTTTATTGTATTGTCCTTGCAGACAAATCCTCTAAGCTGTGTTTCTATTCCTGACTGAAAGGTGCCTTATCAACTGTGCCCATCAGCTTCCTGCAAGCCTTGACCATAGCAGGCATATTTACAGATGAGTTCATCAGCAGAGATAGACCTATAACCCTACCTGATACGCTCTCCAGCCCCCTTGTTTCGACGACACATTGTTTGCTTGTTAGTTGATGTTAAGTTGGACGCATGCGTCTCAGTGATACTCCCTGGAGAACTCAGAGCAAAGGGCAGCTGACAAACACAAAGTTAACAGCGCCAGTATCCCAGACAGAGACAAGTGAGCCAAGTTTCAGTGCCAAAGGGGGTTGGGTCACAAGGATGTGTGGATGTGAATGTGCAGGGGGCTGTTATTACCTCCCTATCATGGTGTCGGGTAGCAACTTCTGCAGACAGAGGACTAAAACACAGATGGAGAGAACCCAACTGAGGACACACTTTTTCCAGTCTCCACTCTTCAGATGATTTCCATTCTTCTTTTTCGCGTACCACATCAATAACATATCTGCCATACTTTCTTTTCCTTGACAGATATATATATTTTTTTTTTATCTTTTTACCTTTTTCTTTGCATGGATACCTACTCAGTCCTCTATAGTTCGTCCCACAATGCTGGACTCCTCTCTGGGTTCCAACGCTTGCGGGATCACAGGAAGATGTGTGATGTTGTCCTGGAATCAGGCGGTGTTTCCTTCCCATGCCATCGCACTCTATTGGCAAGCTCCAGTGACTACTTCTGGGCCCTTTTTGGAGAGACAACTGCAGAGAGATCAGCAGACTTCATCAGCCTCCCAGCACTCACACCTGAGGGTTTAGAAGCCATTTTGGATTTCTTGTACTCAGGGTGGTTGAGCATTTCCTCCTCCACACTTCCAGTTGTGGTTGAAGCTTCTCGCTACCTCCAGGTAGAGGCGGCCTTGTCAATATGTGAGCGATTTATGGCAGATGGACTAACCAATGATAACTGCTGCTTCTATGCTAATCTGGCTGACCAACACTTCCTCTTGAAAGCACTTGAGGCTGCAAATCAAACTATTGCCAAGAAGATGGTAGTGCTGCTACAGAGAAACAGAGCTGAACTCCTTGGGCTGAACTTTTCATCACTGATGGCCGTGCTAGATGCAGATGATATACCTGGGGTCAAAGAGGTGGACCTCATTAAGCTTTGTCTTGATTGGCTTGATGAGAATGGGCCTCTCCCACTCTTAAAGTCAAACCTTCTGTTGAGTCGTCTACACTTTGGACTGGTTTCACCTTCTGACCTTTCTAACCTAAGCCGCAGAAACAGAGCCATGGCCACTCCTCTGATTAGAGGTCAGCTGACGCGTGCACTTGAGTATCACCAAATGGGTTCAGCTAAGCCAATAGGGCAGAGCAGGCAGTCCACCATGAGAGGGTCAACAAGTCATGTGCTTCTTGTTGGTGGTGGGACTAGCACTGATTTGCCAGAACAGCAGGTGTTGGCATTTGACTCCAGCAGCAAGAGGTTTACAGTGCCGGGTTTAGTTCTGCCATTGAGACTCAGAAGTCCATGTGTTTGTTCGGTGGGAGGTTTTCTCTTTGTAATGGGGGGTGACAATATAAAAACTTGTGATGACGACGAGAAGAAGTCAGTCGCTATGTCAACATCATGCCAAGTGTGGAGGTATGATCCACGCTTTAGCCACTGGGAGCAGATGGAGTCCATGCTGGAGAGACGGATGCAGTTTACCTGCTGCATAGTGGAGGACGTTATTTATGCAATTGGAGGACGACACTTACAGCCGGACTCTGGCATGTATACTTCTGTAGCATCAGTTGAATACTATGACATGGCTTCTGGAGCTTGGAGGAGAGCTGCAGCATTGCCTTACCCTCTTCACGGCCATGCCTCTACTGTGCTTGACAAAAGCATTTATGTATCAGGGGGTCTTCCTTCCCCCCAGAGTCAAATCCACAGCAATAACCAGGAAGTTAATAGAGAAATAAGTAGAGAATGCCTGTGCTGGGATCTAATTGGCAGAGTCTGGGAAAAGAGGGCATCCATGTCAGTTCAGAGGTTTGGTCATAGATTGGCAACCGCTCATGGTCACATTTACGCCCTGCTTGGGATGTACGAGCCTTTTTGTGATATTGAACGATACGATCCACAGTCAAACTACTGGACCCGCCTCAAACCACTCGCAAATGGCCTTTTCTGCTATGGACTCCAAACCTTGGAATGTGGTAATCTGCTGCTATTCGGTGGAAGAAGATGGAGTGATGGACAACAGGTGTCTGTAAGAAGTGTGCTGGAGTACGATACAAAGAAAGATCGCTGGAGAGAAATTGCACAGCTCCCAAGACCTCTGACTGGCACTGAGTGCACCCTCCTTCGTCTGCCAGACAATCCAATCCTGTGCTGCTGAGCGCTTCAAGGCCAGCAATAGATAAAGGTCTCCAAAGATGTCTTTCAAATCAGTGTTTTAATTCACACTATTCAAAGCAGAAAAAGGTTTTTAAAATGTTATTTATTTTTTTAATGAGCAAATACTTTCTCTTCCTATATTGCGTTTAGCTTTCTTCTATTAAATAAAGTCGGTGGTATTGCATTGGAAGTCCATGCCAAACTAAACTATCACATAATTCTGTGAATAATATAACAATCACTGCATATGATTAAATATTTAGCTGAGCTAAATATAAAAAGTAGCTCCAATGCTTATATCTTACAATGAAACACCTATTCTTTTAAAACCAAACAAATTCACTTTTGTGGAAATGAAAGAATTACAAAGTTTTGTTGATGCAATGATTTGTAGAGCCTTCAAATGTATATTTGATATTAAAGATTTCTGATGTTCTTGTTTTTTTTTTTTCACCTCACATTTAAATCGATTCTGCAGGCATTTACTGCAAAAAAAAAAAAAAACCCAGTGAATTAATACAACGTTTTGAGCTTTTGGATATATTTCAGAACAGAAAAAACCAATACATTGTTCTTTTAGGAAAAGGCAATTGTACCATTGTTAAGTATAAATATGTTTTGTTTAGTTTTATGCATCAAATTCTGGCTTGATTTGTATCAGATGATCATTTTGTTTTTTTCTCCAGCTATCCAGAATTGGACTTATGGTATGCGTTAGATCAAAGTTTTGCTGCATCACCCAAGAAAGCTTATTATACTTCAGGTTTTCAGGCAGGTTCTGTTTAATGGCTTCTTGAATATATGGTTTAGGAAAAATATTGTGTTGGTTTAAACATGGTTTATTTAAGTGAATTATAATGTCCTCAAAGAAAGCTAAAGAGGTTTTAGATTTTTTTTAAAAGGCAATCAAATAATTATTTACCACTAATAGTGAAATATGAAAAATAATGTCACATTATTTATTTTATACGTGACAAAAGGCATTGAAAGATATAATTTTCTGATTTGCAGAAATTGATATTTAACCTAGTCGAAATCATAAAAAATGATTTTAAAAAATAGTATTTTGACTTATTCTTTAAAAAGATGCCAGTACCACCCCAAGTCGGTCTATGGATTTCAGCATACCATGTTTGGAATTTTTGCGGTTGTAAAACTGTGGATTTTATTACTAACGTTTAAAGGTTTGAAACACAATATCCACTAAATGTTGGTTTTATTGTATCTGAGTTATATGGCATTAATCAGTGAAATGATGACAGTCATTCTAATCAACAGGTTAGAATATTTTCTCTCCATCAAAATATTTTCCACAGACTCTCTCTTGTTCAGGAAGGAAATACAAGTAATCACATTATTAATTAAAACAAGCTTCTAATCCAAATGACTAAAACTTTATTGATTCAGTCTCATCTTCCAACGAAACACAAAGAATGAACACATAAATAAATACTGTCTTTAAACTATAATTTATAGATTGAACACTAAACATTCTTTACACAATGATAGTTTACAAAAGGAAACCCTGATACAATTAAAGATACTCTTCAAGACAATTCACACTCTATAAATAGAGATCTACTTTATCTATAGATTTTAAACACAAAACATGAAATGAATATTGTTTTGATCTACAGCAAAAACATGCTACTACAACCAACCACGGGCAGCAGCATAAAAGGAGCATACAGACAGTGTTCGTCAGTGCAAGTAATTATTGTATATTTAGGATTGCTTTCAAAGTTTGTGTTAATGTTTGAGATACATTATTACATCTTCTGGCAGCAGCATAGAAATAGAATAATATCTTAAATAGATCAAGGTATAATTTCCTATGCAAATATTCTTCATATGCTCAATGTGACACGCCTGTAATAAAGCTAAATCATCTGTGAGGAAAAATCCACCCCTGGAGAATTTTATACTTTTTAATAAGTAATCATAGGGAATTATTTAATTATAATGTATATTCTTTATTTGTATGGAGAATATTAAAAAATATTTAGTTTATAGATTTATTTGATGAACTCATGCATAAAATTGTCATTTTTATATGACAGTCATTACAAGTGAAATATATTTGTGTGTATATGTCATTTAGGTAAATAGAAGCAAAAATATCTGTCTTATAATTCATATTTTTTAAGATAAGAGTATATAAAAATATATATTTCATTCAAGTTAATGAATTGTACGCATGGGGTTAGCTGTGTTTTTAACCTATTGTCACATTAACCGGCAAACATTACTGTATCTTCTAAAGGTTTCATATGGGACGGGAATGAGTCAGGGGTTCGTCCTTTAACCGGTGGGTTGATGGTTCGAGTCCTGTTTGTAGTCAAAGGGCCAAGTGGCACCAGTTGTGTCAGTCTGCCCCAGGGCAGCTGTGGCAACAATGTCTATTATCTATATACGGTAGTCTATTATTATCAGTATGGAGTGAATTTCGTTCCATTATTGTTGGAACCAGAACATGTTTTGTAAATGAAAATTAAACACAATATGTAATCCATAAATGAAGCTATTAAAAAGTAAAATTTTCCCAGTTTTTTTAAATATTTTATATTTTTAAATGTCACGTTTCCAAGATGTGTTTTTCTATTTAAAAATGTATTATTTCAATTTTATTTTACAAATTTAAGTTTCAAAAGTACAGTGGGGGAAATAAGTATTTGACCCCTTGCTGATTTTGCAGGTTTTCCCACTTACAAAGAATGCAACGATCTATAACTTTAATCATATGTACATTCTAACAGTGAAAGACAGAATCCCAAAGAAAATTCCAGAAATTCACATCATATGAATTTATTAAAATTGATAATGATCTGATGAGGAAAAATAAGTATTTGAACCCCTGGACAAACAGCATGTTAATATTTTGTAGAAAAGCAATTATTTGCCAGCACAGATGTCCAACGGTTTTTATAGTTGGTGACAAGGTTTGTGCACATTTCAGCAGGGATGTTGGCCCACTCCTCCCTGCAGACAGCCTTCAAATCAGTCAGGTTCCAAGATTGTTGCCAGGCAACTCGAATTTTAAGCTCCCTCCAAAGATTTTCAATTGGATTCAGGTCTGGAGACTGGTTAGGCCACTCCAGAACCTTGATGTGCTTCTTCTTCAGCCATTCTTTTGTACCTTTGGCGGTGTGCTTAGGGTCGTTGTCGTGCTGAAACACCCATCCTCGACCCATCTCCAGCTCTCGCACTGAGGGAAGGAGATGTTGGTCCAGAATTCCACGATACATGGCCCCATCCATCCTCCCCCCAATATGATGTAGTTGTCCCTTACCCTTGGCTGAAAAGCATCCCCAAAGCATGATGTTGCCACCACCATGCTTGACGTTGGGAATGGTGTTCTTTGCCCCCCAAACACGGCGAGTTGAGTTGAGGCCAAAACGTTCTATTTTGGTCTCATCTGACCACATCACCTTCTTCCAGGCCTCTTCTGAGTCGTCCAGGTGGTTAATGGTGAACTTCATGGGGGCACATACCTGTTTCTTCTTGAGCAGGGGGTCCTTGCGTGCGCTGCAGAATTTCGATCCATGACGGCGTAGTGTGTTACCAACCGTTTCTTTTGTAACTCTGGTCCCAGCTGCCTTCAGTTGATTCATCAGTTCCCCCCTTGTGGTTTTGGCATGATTCCTCACCGTTTGCATGATAAGGGACACCCCACGAGGCGAGATCTTGTGTGGAGGCCCAGACCGAGGGAGGTTGGCGGTGGTGTGGTGCTTCTTCCATTTCCTTATAACTGCACCGACAGTTGATCTTTTCTCTCCAAGTTGCTTTCCTATTCTCTTGTAGCCCATCCCAGCCTTGTGCAGATCAACAACCTTGTCCCTGATGTCCTTAGAAAGCTCTTTGGTCTTGCCCATGGTGGTTGTTTGGGTGTTGACAGGTGTCATTTATACAGACAACGAGGTGAGGCAGGTGGATTTGATGTAGATAATTGGTTTGGATTGGGGCTGTGTCTTAAAGAAAGGCTAACTGGCTTGTAGGAGTCAGAATACTTGCTGTTTGGTAGGGGGTCATATACTTGATTTTCCTCATCAGATGGTTATCAATTTTTATAAATTCATATGATGTGAATTTCTGGAACTTTCTTTGGGATTCTGTCTCTCACTTTTAGAATTTACATATGATTAAAATTGTAGATTGTTGCATTCTTTGTAAGTGGGCAAACTTGCAAAATCAGCAAGGGGTCAAATACTTATATCCCCCACTGTAAAGTAGAATGTAATTTGTAAAAACTCACTTTAAAAAATAGAAATTTAAAAAACATATTATTTTCAAAATAAAATCTAAGAAAACAGAAAATTTTCTCTCAAAACTGTAAACCTTTTTCTTTGATTGAGACATTTTTCGAAGTTTCATTCCTAGATTGATCTTTTTTTCCATCAATTTTAAAAATGGGACGTGTTTTTTTTTCTTGCAATATTATGGCGATTCGATTCAGTATCGATTTCCTGACCCAACGATTCGATTATTTTCGATACTCAAGAATACACCACGATTCGATTCGATTCGATTCGATTAATCGATTAATCGGTTATTTTTTTTTTATTATTATTATTTTTTTTACACCTTACAGGCTAAACAAGGTTTCAAGTTTGAAATAAATCAATGAAAGCTGTAATATCATTATGCATTTTCTTTAGAAACAACATCAAATAACAGAAGTAGAAAAGTTGCATCAAAAAATACTGCAAAAATACTGCACAATATCAGTGTAATGAGTTCAATGCAATACCTCGGCTCCAGAGAAACTGTCCAACATATTTTTTTAGAATGTAATAAATATACTCAGGAAAGAGAGATGTTGCTTAGAGAGTTAGACAGGAATAAAAATAAACTACATATAAGGGAATTGTTTCAAAGGTCATCTGGGGATGTAGTTTTTGGTAGTATTTTTAATTTTCTAAGAAGAACGGGTATTTTAGGGAGAATATAATAGTTTGTCTGGTCCATACTCCATTCTGGAAGGTGGCGGTAATGCACCTATAAGTTGTTTGCCAACCGCCATTAAAAAAAAAAAGAAGAAGAAGGCTTCAGTGTGTTGACGTCACCGCCCCCTTGAGAGACGCTCTGCTGCTCCTCTCCCAGATTGTAGCTGACCGCAAACAGTGCACCAGACAGGAGGCCGGCTTGTTTTGTTTTTATGACCGAAATTGCGGAAAACAACTCGTGAAGTTTGACCCGCTAGAAGAGCGAGGTGCGCGAGAACGCTGGGACCCTTTTTCCAGCTGAATCCCCGCTCTTTTTGCCCTCATGTCCCTTCGTCGTCGGACTAAACTCGTCCCCACTTCCTCACCGCCTCGGCCGTATCTAGACCCACAGCGTGTAGCTCAGACCACGCTTCAATACTGAGCATAATTTAAAAATGTCTGTGTCTAGCTTACTGCAACACACTGCTGTAAGAGTATAACCAGGAAGCGAGGTAGGAGCGCAAAATAGGTTTAGCGGCACCGCAGCACGGGAGGGAGAATTACGCCCAGGAGATAATGGATAAAAATAGAGCGGAGGAAAAAAAAACATGAATCGATTATCTTGCGGACGTGTCGATGCATCGGATCGTCGGCTTTTGGATCGATGCATCGATACAAAACGATTATTATTTACACCCCTACTCCATACTCAGCGTGTGAATGGATTTAAATGTGTGAATGACTCTATTTAGTGTAAAGAGCTTGCAGTCCCTGGACTTAATAAAGTACTATGTAAGTACAGGTCCTTTACTATTTTAATAGGATCCTCTAGAAGTATAATGTGAAATACTAAAGATGACATTAAGATGACAAACAGGTATTTTATACATGCACATTAAGACTCTTAAATCAATATTTTTTAATATCATCTCTACATCACATTTGAACAGTTAATGGTTGGAAGTATGCCTCTATCTGCTTGGCACATTTAGAGACTAAAGTTCTGGCCCTTTGATGTGTTAAGATTAATCTTTATCATTCATGAAAAGTTTTTTTAAACCCAAAAAATACTGAATATAACAGATGTGTACATTCTTCATAAATTACAGTTTTTCCTACCCATAGTATAATACTTTAAGGTATAAATTCTAATGCGTTATTTAATCTGCATCTTAGTTTAAAATTAGTAATCATCATTAAGTTCCAAGGTCTGGAGAATGAGAAAATACAGAGCAACCTAAATAGATATAGTAACCTATATCACTGTAAATAAATGTACCATTTTCAAGGAGCAGAAATGAAAAGGGGAACACATGTTAATATCCTGAAATGAAAAGATGCAGCAGGGAAAAGAAGGGAGGGTTTGTGATATGATGGGTGTGTCAAATGATCACGCACATTAGATAACCATTCTCCTGGCAGACACATAGCACAACAAGGTATAAGACGGATAGAAAAAGGGGAGTTTTGAGCTCATCGGCTGAGGTCAAGACAGAGCTATAACTCTACAATTTATTTGTTTTATTCAGTGCCTGTTCCACAAGGGGTAAGCTCCATCAGTAGCTAGCCGCTTACAGTACAGACCTTTATAAAATGACTTATGGAGGGCCGTTCAGGGTATAAAGAACTGCCGCAGACTCTGAAATGGCTTTTTCAGATTGCTCTGAGTTTAACACAATTCCCTTTCCTTGCTCCTATTGGGATTAAAAAAAATATATATCGTGTGACCTTCAGTTTCGCTCCTCTTCCAAATAGCATTTTGTATGAAGCTAATAAGGTTTGGTTTTGTCTTATCTGACCAGTGCACCTTCCTCCATGGGCTTTGTGGCAAACTAGAAATCAGAATTCTTTTATATTTCTATCAAAATCTTTTTGCTCTGCTGGTACAACAGCTAGCTTACCTGATGACAGATTATTCGATCTGAGCTGCAGATGTCTGCAGCTACAGGATTATAAAGAAGCTTTGGGTTGGGTTTTCAAAACAATGCGTTTCTTACCTGATTAGTTATCTTAGGTGTGCAGCCACGTCTTGGTATGTATGC